GGCTGTTGCTTGGAGCGGCCCGCAGGCCCACATATACCTGGTTGATGGGGTTCTGGGAGTTCTTCTACTGCCCCAAGCCCGCCCCGAGGCCAGGCTTGACTTGTGAGAGTTTGGTCCACCAGGCTGTTGCTTGGAGCGGCCCGCAGGCCCACATATACCTGGTTGATGGGGTTCTGGGAGTTCTTCTACTCCCCAAGCCCGGCCCGAGGCCAGGCTTGACTTGTGAGAGTTTGGTCCACCAGGCTGTTGCTTGGAGCGGCCCGCAGGCCCACATATACCTGGTTGATGGGGTTCTGGGAGTTCTTCTACTGCCCAAGCCCGGCCCGAGGCCAGGCTTGACTTGTGAGAGTTTGGTCCACCAGGCTGTTGCTTGGAGCGGCCCGCAGGCCCACATATACCTGGTTGATGGGGTTCTGGGAGTTCTTCTACTGCCCAAGCCCGGCCCGAGGCCAGGCTTGACTTGTGAGAGTTTGGTCCACCAGGCTGTTGCTTGGAGCGCCCCGCAGGCCCACATACCCACCACAGCCCGGTTGGTCCGGAACTCCTTGGAGAAAATAATCTAGTTTCCTCTTGAAGATGTCCACGGTTGTTCCGGCAATATTTCTTATGGTCGCTGGGAGGACGTTGAACAACCGCGGACCTCTGATGTTTATACAGTGAATGAGGGTGAATGCTTGTATAGAGCGCGTCATAGGAGCGAACATGTCTAGGGTTGATAGCTGCAGTGAAACATTCAAACGGGGAAAAGATTACAAAGATTAACCGAGATAAAACACTCATCAGCTGTTATCATTGCCTCAGATAATATTTACATCTTGATAATAACCCGGAGGTCCGGATGGTTCATCTTATGTGATACAGGAAGCTTCTGAGGCTTACCCAGGCCTACGGGAGACATCTCCCGTCACGCAGGGTGCAGTCGCACCTCCACAGATCTCCAGTATCATCTACTGATACTTGTAATGGCTCAAAAGGGCCACCACTTACGGGCTATTCATGCCCGTGCCTCCTTTTGGGTGGCTTAATCTTCATCAATCATCAATACCCAGGTCCACCTTGGTCAACTATTGTTGACCTTCCCCAGGGAACATCCCACAACAGTATCCTAACGCCAGAATATACCTATTTACTGTTTGGTAAATAGAGGTTTAGCAGACCCCGTGGTGTAGTGGTTAAGACACTCGCTTGGCGTTTCGCGAGCTCGTTGTCCTGGGTTCGTATCCTGGCCGGGGAGGATTTACTGAACGTCAATCCTTAACTTTAGCCTCTGTTTACTCAACAGTAAATGGGTACCTGGTTGTTTAACGATTTGGCGTGGTTACATTCCGGTAAACATAGCATTAAGGACTTAGCCCTAAACGCTACCTTGTGCTAGTGGGTGTACAAGAATGTAGGAACGCCCAATCGCTCTGCCTCGCCAGAGAATCGAACCTATTAACCTCAGTTGTTAGCAGAGGATGTAGACTACTGTGCTACAGGATCTCTCTCAGCTCACTAAGTGATCCACAATACAATGACCGTACCTTCTATTATAAGGGGACATTAAATACATGGTAAACTGTAAAAAAAATATAAGTAGAAAGAGTTATTTGGGAGAATCTGTATCTATAAATGAAAATGTATGTCTGTCTGAGGCTGGAGGCCAGATTCTTGGAGATTGCTTCATCCAATTTTGCCCAGTAATTGCTGTTGGGTACGTGCCTAATGTGGGTGGATCGGGATTGACATCATTGAAAAGAGTGCCACGTGACACTGTGCCAAACTTACCCCCACGACAAATCTCGCAAGCTGTAAGTACGATAATTAGGCTGTTAATTTCACCCCGGTGTAACAATAACCATTCAAATTATTTATTCTCTCTCGTTCCTCTGCTAGCCTACAAACAGGCTTATTATATGATAAATAACCAAGGTCTTTAGTCCAACAATAGGCTTTATACAAATGCTGTTTTCACACGCAAAAGAGGGCTCTCCACATTTGACTATAGTTTCTCAACTGACCACTAGATAGATGCCTATAGTACATAGGTCTAATTAGTACACAAAAACACACCTCTATCCTAAAACAGAACCTAGCAGAACCCAACCTATTTTTACTACAGCATACACGACAAAACCGGACCTAACAGACCCCAACCTAACCTTACCTAGTCTTACAAAAGCTAACAGAATGAAACAGGGCCTAACAGAACCCAACCTAACCTTACCTAGTCTTACAAAAGCTAACAGAATGAAACAGGGCCTAACAGAACCCAACCTAACCTTACCTAGTGTTACAAAAAGCTAACAGAATGAAACAGGGCCTAACAGAACCCAACCTAACCTTACCTAGTCTTACAAAAAGCTAACAGAATGAAACAGGGCCTAACAGAACCCAACCTAACCTTACCTAGTCTTACAAAAAGCTAACAGAATGAAACAGGGCCTAACAGAACCCAACCTAACCTTACCTAGTCTTACAAAAAGCTAACAGAATGAAACAGGGCCTAACAGAACCCAACCTAACCTTACCTAGTCTTACAAAAAGCTAACAGAATGAAACAGGGCCTAACAGAACCCAACCTAACCTTACCTAGTCTTACAAAAAGCTAACAGAATGAAACAGGGCCTAACAGAACCCAACCTAACCTTACCTAGTCTTACAAAAGCTAACAGAATGAAACAGGGCCTAACAGAACCCAACCTAACCTTACCTAGTCTTACAAAAGCTAACAGAATGAAACAGGGCCTAACAGAACCCAACCTAACCTTACCTAGTCTTACAAAAAGCTAACAGAATGAAACAGGGCCTAACAGAACCCAACCTAACCTTACCTAGTGTTACAAAAAGCTAACAGAATGAAACAGGGCCTAACAGAACCCAACCTATCCTCACTTAGCCTCAATAAAGCTAACAGCACCAATCAGAACCTTGGAGAACCAAACCTGTCCTTAGAGAAACTAACAAAACAAAAATATATCTTATAAGGACCCAACCAAACCTAATCTAACTTAATATAATCTAGGCAAATTTTCAACAAGTTCCCACAAAAGAGGGAAATATAATCAATATATATTATATTAAAATATTTCTCTTATTTCCAAATAATTCAAATATTTGTCTTCGTAAGCACCTTCCTCATTTATAGCAAACTTTTTGTAACAAACTTTTTATGTAAAATACTTTTTTGTAAGAAACTTTTTATGTAAAATACTTTTTGTAAACAAAGTTTTCATGTAACTATGTTTTCTGTAACATCTTCTATTTCAAAGCTTGTAATTTTACAGGACAAAATTTAGAGTCGAAACTTATTTTCTGCACGATAAAATATTAGTTTTTCAAACTGTATTGTTCAAGTATGTTTATTGAGACAAGAAAATACATCTCAAGGGGATAGAGTAGCTTAGGCTAGTTCTATCCTCTTCCCGCATAACTGCATTGAATGTTCTCTGTACATATTACTGCTCTATCCAACTCATCCATCCGAATCAATCCTACATACCATGCAGTCACTTTGACATTTTATGAGTAAAGATTAGCTTAGGTAGGCAACTTAACGTACATAGTTCTCTAATATATTATTACTTTGCTGACCTCATTTGAGTGTGTGGGTTTTCTCAACCAAATATGAATTAAACAATATATTTTAAACTTTCAAAGGAGTTTTGAACAATTCACTGAAATTTGCACAAGTGGAAGCGACATTAAAATAGGTTAACTAAACCCTAGGAATAATTTAGCGTACTTTTGACTTTAAGGAAAAGAATGGAGAGATTCAACTGAATAGATCTCTAGTGGGCCCCTCACTTGGATTACTGTATCCAAACATGGAGACTCCATCTTCAGAAGGTCTTAGCTGCTCTTGAGAAAGTTCAACACCGTTTAGTTTAGTAGTTTAGGTCATTTATTATGCACCCCATACCCATCTTGTGGGCGGTAGTGGAAAGGGTTACAGAGGCACATAATGGGCTCAGGGACTGAACCCCACAATTCATTTAGCTAAGCAAGTTATAATCTTGATTAGCTCCAACTTCTTTAAAAGGTCAAATGTAACGCAGAAGGAGCAAAGGTTTAAAGTTCAACAAGCCACAGTGTTGGACAGAAAACAGCAGATGGGTTTTCACCCACGGAACCGCCTACCTGCCGAAGCCATAAATGCTAAAACACTACTGAATTTTTAAATCAAACTGAATCAAATCATCAGGATAAATGGTGCAACCTTTGAATAGCCGCCGGCTTCCTGTCCAGTGTCGAGGCCACTAGTGAGATAATGGCTCGTGGGTAAATTCTGCTAAATATGAACTATGTTAGGCCAGAGATGCCGCCTTTTAGGCCTAGAATTGCTTGGACACCTTAAGTAAGGTTCCAACTATGCTCCGAAGGGTAAATATATTATTGACAGCTGTACAAATCTTAACACTGGAAGTGAACTATCAGGAGAAAGCGACAAGCCATTATGACTATATGTCGCACTGGAAGAGGAAATGAGTCACGTGGCTGGTGTGGTTGGCCTGCGCGTCATCTATTATGCTGTAAGAACCTTTTTCTGCGTCTGTGTACTGTTTGACCAGTATGAGTGATGATGCTCGGTGCGGGGCCTGTGAGTGAAGTTGCTCGGTACGGGGCCCGTTAGTAGTGGAGATGCTCGGTACGGGGCCCGCGAGGAGTGAAGATGCTCGGTACGGGGCCCGCGAGTAGTGAAGATGCTCGGTACGGGGCCCCGCGAGTAGTGAAGATGCTTGGTACGGGGCCCGCGAGTAGTGAAGATGCTCGGTACGGGGCCCGTGAGGAGTGAAGATGCTCGGTACGGGGCCCGCGAGGAGTGAAGATGCTCGGTACGGGGCCCGTGAGGAGTGAAGATGCTCGGTACGGGGCCCGTGAGTAGTGAAGATGCTCGGTGAGGGGCCCCGTGAGTAGTGAAGATGCTCGATGAGGGGCCCCGCGAGTAGTGAAGATGCTCGGTACGGGGCCCGCGAGTAGTGAAGATGCTCGGTACGGGGCCCGCGAGTGGCGATATCCGGTTAACATGACCAGGTGAGGACACACCATTGACCAGTGTCACCCCAGCCCTCAGCGAGGGTGTACGCACGCATCATGAGAGTCGTAATCCTTCTCGCCTGCGTGGCTCTTATTGCTGCCGAAATGGCAAGGTAAGAGGAAAAAATTTATAATTATATATCTATTCCAGGCTTGGCTCCTTGTTGCGATAATTACTTAATAATGTAACTATTCTAATGAGTTGTTATATATGTTAATATCGATAAAAATGGGGTTAATTAACGAGAATAGTTCGTCATGGAAGCGTTATAATTTCTGACAGTAAGTTTAGCAAGCTCCACCCGACAATGGGACACGAATCATTCGTTTATTTATATAGAACAGGACCAGTGATGTTGCGTGAGTCATTACTGATGTTTTGTTGTCTATGTAGCCATAATGGTCCTAGTGTGAATGATGAATTACCATGAATTCATGAATTACAAATGACCCGTAGCGTAGTAGTCGACGTTGTTTGCTCGCAACCACGTGATCTTCGCTTCCATTCACAGGCGGGAAGGGTAGGGGGGGGGGGGGAGGTCAGTAAGGGGCGTCTGGCACTGTAAGACATAGAGGGGGCGTCTGGCACTGTAAGACATAGAGGGGGCGTCTGGCACTGTGAGTAAGACATAGAGGGGGCGTCTGGCACTGTGAGTAAGACATAGAGGGGGCGTCTGGCACTGTGAGTAAGACATAGAGGGGGCGTCTTGCACTCTGGGTAAGACATAGAGGGGGCGTCTGGCACTCTGGGTAAGACATAGAGGGGGCGTCTGGCACTCTGGGTAAGACATAGAGGGGGCGTCTGGCACTCTGGGTAAGACATAGAGGGGGCGTCTGGGACTCTGAGTAAGACATAGATGTCGGCTAAATCTGCAGGTCGTGGAAGCCTTGTGGAGGTTCTCAACCTGTCTGCAGGGTCATGTCTCTGATCCACCAGAACAATTTCTAGTTGAGTTCTGAGACGCCACACAACACCTTCGCGTGAGAGCCACCTAAAGTGTGCCTCAGAAAGGCGGCCAGAATATTCCGTCAACCCCCATCTTTACATGAATCACGTAGCAGCCGAGTGCTTACTGCCTGACCTTTGACACCTTTGACACTCGATTGCATCATTCATGACAGCTTCACAAGCAATGCTTGGATCATACACTGGTATGTAGCTTAGCCTAACATTTTAAAAGCACTACGATCACCTTCTGTGATTGTTCAATAAATCCCTGAACTGTATGTCTGACAGATCTCTCACCCTGTCCATGGAGGACAGAAGAAAATGTATATATGCTGGTTAGCATTGTAAATGTGTGGCCACGTCTGTGGTAGAAAACAAAAAACTGGATAACTTCTGTTTTCTTCGCTGTAAATTAACACTTTGGTGTTTTGAAGTATACATCAACCTTCCTGTAGCATCAGTCTCCGTGGTGTAGTGGTAAGACACTCGCCTGGCGTTCCGCGAGCGCTATGTCTTGGGTTCGTATCCTGGCCGGGGAGGATTTACTGGGCGCAAATCCTTAACTGTAGCCTCTGTTTAACGCAACAGTAAAATGTGTACTTGGTTGTAACAACGATTCTTCGCGGCAGGGGATCGTATTCCAGGGACCTGCCCGAAACGCTACGCGTACTAGTGGCTCTACAAGAATGTAACAACTCTTGTATATATCTCAAAAGACATCAATGTCAGAACTTCCCAACTCAAGAGAACTAATTCCTTCCTCAGTTACATCAGAGCCGCCTGTATGCATTACTAACATTAGTAGTCTCAAGTTAAATAGCAAAATGAATAGCAAAATGTTTGCGCTCTTTGAAGAAATCACATATTCCCTCACATTTTCTACTAAGATGGAAGTTATTTTTCACAACTCTTTGAAAACAGTGGCACAAAATGCAGTCCCATGGCATCTTTCTGGGGCCAGATTCACGAAGCAGTTACGCAAGCACTTACGAACCTGTACATCTTTTCTCAATCTTTGGCGGCTGTGTTTATATTTATTAAACAGTTAATGAGCTCCGAAGCACCAGGAGGCTGTTTATAACAATAACAACAGTTGATTGGCAAGTTTTCATGCTTGTAAACTCTTTAATAAATGTAACCAAAGCCGTCAAAGATTGAGGACAGATGTGTACACGTTCGTAAGTACTCTCGTAACTGCTTCGTGAATCTGGCCCCTGGGTCACACATGCTTTGTTATTTTCACAGCTGCATGGTTGACCGCTTCTTCAGCAATAGTATCTGACATATTCTGACAATCAACCAGCATACTTCGAAGCCAGTTCCTCAAGCTGGACGTTGATCAAATGTGCCTGTTATGACCCTGGGTTCTCCAGTGGAAACCAGAGGTCAAAATTGAGCTATTAAACTTCCTAAGTAGTACAGTTGGCGCATTTCGAATGGAAATTGTTTGTATCTTCCCTGCCAGACGTAAGACTATTATTGTTTCTCAAAGAGCATTTAAAGACTGAGCTGGGGGTTGATTATTAAATAATAACATAGGCACCAACTTTGCTTACTAATACTTTCTAATCATTCATAAAGTAACAATACGTTGCATAGGGGAAGATCTTTAATGTGCTTAGCTGCACGATCAATTAGGCTCCTTCCGGCACCACGACATGAGGGAGGCCAGGTGGTCGCGAGGAGCTCGGTCTTCTCTCTGGCTGGTGTGTGTGGATAAGACCTACTCTGTGGCTGCTCCCCTACTCTCATAAGAACATAAGAACATAAGAACAAAGGTAACTGCAGAAGGCCTATTGGCCCATACGAGGCAGCTCCTATTCTATAACCACCCAATCCCACTCATATACTTGTCCAACCCGTGCTTGAAACAATCGAGGGACCCCACCTCCACAATGTTACGCGGCAATTGGTTCCACAAATCAACAACCCTGTTACTGAACCAGTATTTACCCAAGTCTTTCCTAAGTCTCTCCTTCCTTCTCCTCTTACTTATTTCCCTTACCTGAAGTTCCTGTATCCTTAAGCTAAGTACAGGGCATTAGTGAGTGTGCCTACTCTGGTAGTAACGATTGGTGAGACCTGGGGATAGTATTTTGCCAGTGTTTGGGTACCCCTAAGTGTTGTGGTTTGTATTAGGGTCCCACGTGGTTTCACTACCCTAAGCTGCATCCAGCTTCAGTGCTTATCCAGTAGTACTTTACCCTAGCTTGTTATTAGTGTAAACCTTGTATCCTGCCTACGTGGACCAAGGCTTTTAACGTAAGATAGTGTGGTAAAGTTATTATTATTATTGTTATTGGTGTGAGTGTATATGGGGGGTTGTTAACGGGTTAATAAATAAGTACATGAATTACAGAGTATCTCTTCTTCCAAGGTGGGAGCGCAGTGATCAACCCTTAGACTAACATATTTGGTCTTGTAGCAAGTTATTACTACGGTGGATAGTTTATTTTGGGGGCCGGGCCTTTTAGCTCTCCCATATTTGATACTCTTGTCTTCTAACTACCTTTACCCCTTAATATTACCAGAACCCCATAGAAGCCCCACTCATATCGTTTGTAACAAGTGGTTGGCCAGTCCGGGAGGAACATTATAAGTGTAAAAAATTAGATTCTTGAGTGCCAAAATTAAAATTTTTTATTTCCGCAGAACGGTTGTGTGCTAGCCTAGGGTCCAGCTCATCTAGCAAAGGACATTCTTGCACTGACTGGACACCCAGCTGGATCCCTTCACGATTAAGGTTAGTGTGGCCTTGTGTTAGGGGCCGTGCAATTTTTTGTTTTTTTTCCAATTTTTATTTTTTAATTTTTTCTTTGGCTGGGAGCTAAAATTATTAGTGATGTCTTCTGAAATGCAGAAACTGGCAAGGGAGCCTTCAGTGGTAGAGATAAAGAAACTTAAAAAGTCTAATTTAGTATTGTTAGGCCAGGAATTTGGCCTAGAATTAAATGTCGCAGATAAAAAGTGGACTTTGGTAAATGAAATATTAGAACATTGTATTGATGAACAACTATTGGCAAGTGATACACCTTTATGCCAGCCTAGCCAAGCAGAAAGTGCAACTCATAGGGAAAGTGAATTAGCTTTAGAGTTAGCAAAAATAAAATTAGAGGAGCAAAAACTCAAAACCGAGGAGGCTAGAATTAGAGCGAATGCCACTGGAACTCCACCTGCCGGGGATTCAAACCCCAGGCATTATGAGAAAAAGCATAATTTGCCTGAATTTTCCGAGTCTGACCCTGAAAGGTTTTTCAACCATTTTCAGAGAGTGGCCACGTCCATGAACTGGCCAAAGGAAGAGTGGGTGAAAATCCTACAGGGAAGACTTAGGGGTAAAGCACAAGATATTTTTATAAACATGCCTGACGACGAGTGTTTCGAATATGATAAAGTCAGGGAAGGTATTTTGCGGGCATATGAAATTACTCCTGAAGCTCACCGCCAAGTTTATCGTAACCTTAGGCCTACTCACAACCAACCGCTCACTGAATTTGTGAATGATCAAATTCGATTGTTTGATAGATGGATTCGCTCGGCGAAAGCCGAAACATACGAGGCTCTCAGGAACTTAATTTTAATGGAGCATTTTATAGATGTTATGCCAGAGAACGTATCACAATACATTAAAGGAAGGATAGAGTTAAATTCTAAAATAGGGGATTTGGCCAAGTTGGCAGAAAACTACCAATTGGCGGGCAAAAGGCCCAATAAAAATAATTATACCCCACAGAGTAGCAAACCTTATACCCACAGCCAGTCCAGACCAGCTCATTCTAACCCTTTACCTAATGCACCTTCTGTTTCAGACATAACTAACCCTGTTAAAGTGTCTAGCCCAACGGCACCTAAAGGTGAACCGAAGGGTAATTCTGTTAGTAATGTCTCTTCTCCCCGACGTTTTTGTGGTCACTGTAATCGTTCAAACCACAATATTAGCCGTTGTTGGCAACTGTACCCAGAAAAAAGACCCAATGCTCTAGTTGTGACACAGGGCTTGAGGCCTTCGGAAGGGTTAGGGAGTAAGACCTCCAACCCACAGTGGTTGGACTTGCTTACCCCATTCTTATCGAAAGGGAGACTACTTTTGTCTGAGGGTTCTTCCTGGAAGGACGTGGTGATCTTCCGAGACACCGGTGCCATCCAGACTTTAATTTTAGAGAG